TGTGGGGTGTTTTTTCCCCTTTGGGGCAGGAGGAGCCCTCCACATCTGTGAACGTGGCAAGCAGAGGGAAACAGGCTCCCTGGATCCCATCTGACCCCCAGCGCCTCAGCAGGGGCCCTATGGCACCTCCCGGTACGCCGGGAGGGAAAAGGGGCCATAACCCCCGTGTGAGGAGATAAAACCTCTGGGGAAGGTAAAATTATCTTTGGCCTATTTTCACCCAGAAGCTCCCAAAGAACAAGCCCTGGGGATACTCGGAGGGGAGCAGAGTGGGACAGGAGTGAGGGGAGGGCCGTGCGGCAGCGGGAGCAGGGAGGGAATGGGCACTGGGTGCTCCGGTCCTTGGCAGGGGACACCATGAGGGAGCGGAGCCTGAAGGAGCGGGGACAAGGGGGAGAGCGGCGGGGGGGCGGCCCCGGCTGCAGACACAGCCGGGCTCCGTGCCCACCACCCGAAATAAAAGCTCATTACCCAAGGGCTACTTTTGGCACCCGTTGAGTTCTGCATAGCTCACGTGCTGCATTTGTACTCCTGGTGCTGTGAAAAATCGTATCCAATCTCAGAAAAATCCCATTTTCCCTGTTTTGTACAGTATCCTCTGCAATGAGGAAACATGTGCTTTAAAAGAAAAACAGCAAATAAACCTGGACCTCGGTTTGCATACAGACCACACATGAATACCAACCATGTGCAAATGCATACTTAGGAACAAAGTCACTAACCGAATGTTTTAAACTTCAAGTTTTCACTATCCATACATCTATCTCAGCCTTAAAAACTTTCTATTTGTCTTTTTCCTAAATCCAAGCAATTCACAGGAAGAAAGTGACACGAAAACAACAGTTATGTTGTCTCTTCCTGGCCTGAGAGGCCAACTTCCCAACTCTCCTCATTGTCATTAAAGGGAGCAATAAAGAGCCTGTTCCCGGGTCCTGCTCCACTCAAGGTCAAGGTTAGACTTTGGGATTACAGGTGCCACCCACTGTCAAAAAAATATGCGAGCTTAGTCCTGTGGACTTCTGACTCTTCCTCATCATCTCTCATGGAGCCTCTTATTCCTTTGAAAGAAAGAAACAAACTACTATTTTGGTTTGAGACTTTATGTCCAGTGTCATACATGCTGATGATACCAGATAAGCAAGGAATCAAGCTCATGATTCTGCCTCATCAGTCTCTTACACGACCATTAGAAGACATTCTTTTTGGGGTGAGGAGGTCAAAGCTTTTATTGGGGGGAAGGGGTGTCTTTTTCATTTGTTTTTCTCTGCTGGGAAACACCGTCCCCTTTAAAGGGCAGATTCAGTGCGCAATTATTTTGAAATAAACTCAGAAAAGTGTTTCCTAACTCTACTGGTCTATGGGATATTCCCTTTGACTGTAGGTGGGTCTCCTTTTGCAAAGGCTGATGCTTGATTTAAGAAGTTTAACACTGTATGTATCATCCTGAATTTTTGGGCCTGATTCTACAAGGTGCTGAAAATGCACCTTCATCCCTGCATTCACCACGTCAGACTCTCAGGGGATTCAAAGGGCATCTAGGGCACCTGATTTCTCACAGAATTGCAGTGTAAGGGACTTAAGTTGAAAGATAATCAAACAGTTGTCCGTAAAACAGTATAAATCTGCATATTCTCAGCTTGTTTTGGAGTATAATAAATTGACCTGTTTCACCAAAGACTGGAAAACTTCCACTAGAGTTTGCTGAAGATAGTTAATTGATTTGAGCTACATTCTGTAAATATTTTACATAGGAATCTATCCCCAAAATCAGATGGAAGGTTATTTTATTGTTTAGCTCTGTAGCTGATATTCAAAAATGTGGGGTTTTTTGCAATTTTTAGGGTCAAGCTTTTATTTCTTTCAGGAAGCAATCTTTCCTTCTATGATTCATCATCGTGTTGAATTGTCTAAGGTAGGAAATATCAGCTGGAAATTACTGTCATATGCTATGAGAACCCAAAGGGAGAGTGCAGAACTAGATCATCTCCAGCAAGAAAAACAGCTGGTGAAAAACTAAGCCAACTGTGTTTCCAAGTAAATCCTGGAATGCAGTATGCAAAACAACACGTGTTCAATCAGAAATCCTCAAAAAACAGACCATTTCCTCAAGCAGATTACCTACCTCAGATGAAGGACACTATAATCAAATAGGCAGCTTGCCATCCAAGTCGTCTTTTCCTTGGTTTCCTTATTTTCCATGATTCTAGCAGGAGCTGAGAATACTCATCACCATAAAATAGGTGAGGCTTTAGGAGAGTAGGGTAGCAGGTGCTGTCTCCAGACTTGAACGACACAAAGAAATTTCTCTTGACGCTTAACAGTTTTCTCCTAAGACACCCCACACTCACTTATCTCTTTTGCTTCCTTAGTCTCACTTCTGACTCTTAATGTGAATAATATCCCACTTGTGAAAAATTCTACCACATGTATTAAATGGCAAACTGTTATTCAATCTCCCAGACATACCTTCGGAGACATTCACACAACTGCCCCATGGGCAAACAACAGCAAGACAGAAACTTTACCAAAGCACTGGAAGGCAGACGTACAGATTTTTTATATATATATATATTCACAAGAACAATTCTTTTATCTTAAAACCTTTCTAAAACAGGCATATACTGCAGGCTTTGGCAGTAGAGATAAAATATTATGGGATCCAGCCTTACTTTGTTTTTCTCATCCAAATATACACATTTTTAGAACAGAGGAATAGTTGCATCCAGAATTATTACTGCTGCTTGATGACCAAAATGCCTCATATACTGCTCCACACATGAAGCGACTGCAAATATCCATCTTTCCTGATCAAAACCAGCTTCTTTGGGGTGCAGGAAAAGAAAAGAAGCATATACATGGTTCACTTAAAATGCAGCGACAAAAACAGCATTTGAAGGCATGTGTTCAGAACAGTCCCATATTGTTATTACAGATGGAAACAGTGAAGGAAGAGAAACAGAAGAAACAAAAGCCAGCTTTTGTGAGTTCCAGAGCAATCCCTTATGATCCTGGGTCTTGTATAAGATGATTTGGAAGCTTTGGAAAGGCATTCAGGGTCTCTCCCTGAATAACGCACTGTAACACGTTGTCTTCCATGAGCCTGGCCCAGTGCCATGACAGTTTCTGCGTAATTCATTGCACGTTTTGCTAAGTGTTCTCTGTATATCTATATAGATATATACACATAGGCATATATGTAATTTTCCATATGCTTTCCTGCAAAACATCAGAAAAACAGAATCAATTACATAATGGAATACAGAGTTCAGAATATGCCAAACTTAGCACCTGCTGACATGCTGCACGTGCCCCAAACCAAATCAGAGATGTGTTGATTCGGAAGTTATATCTACTCAAAATCTGTAGGTATAAATTATTTCTTCTCTCACAAAGTTTTCATATAGCCCAGCCAGGAGGTCTAATGTTTGACTTTCCAAGTGACTTTCCTTTTCAAGCCCCATCATCTTTTCAGTGTATTAGCACTACTCCTGGCACTTCTTTGTGTCATTCTCCATGACAAAATGTTGATTAGGGACAAAACTAAACATTTTTTTTCAAGTCGTAGAGTTTAGAACTCCAAAAGTAGAGATTAGTGTCTTGAACCTCATAATCTTTGAACATAAACTGCCTACGAGGGGCATAAAGCAGATCCCTATTCTTCTTATGGGAAAACGCACGTTCTTCAAACATCATTCTCCTTTCATCTTTTCTTCTGCAGCTGAAAAGAAAAGAGGTTCAACTAGAGAGACTGAGTAGCTGGCCAGGTAGTTTATGGAATACAGAGATCTTAATTTCACGGTTACCGGTCCGGAATCAAAGTCAGCAGCAATCACAACCTGTAACTGGCCAGAGGCCTTTCAGTGAACCTGGGTGAAGTGAGCACTGAACCCTCACCAAGACTTATCAGTAGCAAATGCACAGGCTGTTGTGGGAACTGGCTATCCTGGACCAGGCATCAATCCAGTCCTGCATATCACCTCCAAAGGTGACCCGAAGTAGATACTCTTTCCGTAAGAAATATGCCAAATTCTTGTTCTTTGTTTTCCTTTTGAACTAGTTGCTTAAAAATACCGTGAAATACCTTTTCATTTTTTGTTATCAGAACTAGTAAATAATGACCTTCATATTACCTGTTGTGTATGCTGCGGCTATAAGCAGAAGCCACTATGAATAGTCCACTGCTATCTGATAAAACACAGATATATACCGTTTCATTTTACAAAACTATGTTATTTTCAACCCTTTTTGATTCTGCAATTCCCAGTCATGTTTCAGTAAAAGTCTTTTAGTCCAGGGCTCAGACACCCACTTGTTATGTTTCAATGATACTTTTAAATTGGAATTATTTACACAAGAGTCTGAGAACTGGGTTCTTGTTTTAACTAAAGTACAGTTTTTACCTCCCACATGATGTGCTTGTGTGAGTTCACATTTTATCTCAGTTCTTCTTCCTCTTCCTCATCTTCCATTTCCTCTTCTGAGTCGTCTTTATTCTTTGAACTGTTGCTGAATTCAAGGTTCCCTTCAATGTCCAGCACCTGTAGGTGCTTTAGGTTTTGGAAGGTACTTTCCTTCAGTGCTCCAACTGCAATCTTATTAAACCTTTAAACAAACAAAAAGGCCTTCTGGTTGAAATAAACTCATTTTTATATCCAACACAAAAATGAGGAGACGAGGAGGAAACCATTCTGGAGAGTTACTCTAACTTACACTGACCTACGTTACTCTAACTTCACCCTGACCCACAACAGGACTCTAGGAGTACTGGCTCCTCTGGATGGAAAAAGGAAGGGAAAGCAGGTGCTGATTAGAAAGCAGGCAAATGGAGCGACTGGACAAAGTTTGGTGACAGCACTCTGTATCATCACAAAGGACCTTGCAGGAAAAGACCGGAAAAAATTAAGTATCTCCCACCAATGTCAAGTTCACTGACCAAGCTCTCAAAAAACTCCTACTTTCCTTTGCCTCAGTCCCTCTTCCCCCTTCTATAACTGTATTCAGCAAGGAAAAAAAAAAATCACAATATTGGAATTCCTCCCCCACAAATTCTTTCTCTCAGTATTCTGCTTTCTCCCTCCCAGAGAGGAAAGGCATCTGCTCCATAGCCCACATTTCAAAGCGTAACTTGCTTTTTCATAAGATTCTGTGTCATCCCTTGATAGTTTAATTCTCTCCCACAAAACTCAAAATACTGGTACAAAATATCCCTGTAGAAACAAAGCAACATGCAATGTTTCATCTGTTATTTGGGTTTGCAGGAATATAAATAAACTAATCTGCAGTTTAAGAACCTCTCATGTATACTACTTGGTCTGTTACTCTCGAACATGCTTAAAATCATATTCAGTCTAGTATTCCAGCTGTATATTATTGTTTCACAGCATTGCAGTGATTAATAGCCTCCCATTAAGAAATACAACTTCGCTTGGGTGGAATTGCCTCCTAAATATGTTAGCAAAACAGTTTTGCAAATTCCTTTTTTCCCTTTATATAGAAATATAGAATGTGGCATGTGGTTTCTGGTTTGCATCCAAGCATTCACTAAAATCTCATAAATGTGAGCAGCTGAATAGACAGACTGCTCTAATTTACACCAGACTTTGTAATTTTATTTGCTTGGTATGGAATCATTCAGCCAAAAAGGTATGATTCAGAACTATTCAGAACTACAGAACAGTTTAGTTGCATATAGACAAAATAAGGCCATATTTAGTCTTGTGCAGCAGGCAGCCTAGGCTTTTTGAACACATCCATGGGATTAGCTTACTCAAATTTTCTGTAGGGGTTCATAAATTACTTCTAAGCAATATTCTCAATATGTTCCATCAGATTAAAATTGAATACATTACTGAGCCAGATTCTTGCTTCACTTCTTGTGTTATAAATCCCTGCTTAAATCAGCTACATTACTGTGAGTTTACACTGCATGTAAAAAAGGTCAGTATCTGTCACCTGTGAAAACAAAGTCCTTATCCAACTAACAGAGTAGGGAAAACAAACCAGAAAAGCTTTAAACTTAGTTACATAACTGTCACAGTTGTAACTTGTCATCTGTTCCTGACAAAACTATCAAGAGAATGTGCACAACTTCAAGATTTATCATACAGGTCTCACTAGAGGGGTATTTCGTCAAAATCCAGGGCTAACAGACACAGGCGAAACTGCAGTCCTACAAGCGGACTGTAAACTTTTAGCCTACAGCTGAATATTGGAATACGACATAATGTTAAAGCTTAATTTACCAGAACTTCTAACAAGTCTAATCTGTTCTCATAAGCACAGAAAGGACAAACTCTATGAACAGAAAGAGCTTATTATGTGTATCCATGTCTTTTCTCAGCAGATAAATACAGTTTCATTATACATTCCTACAAGACAGTGTTGTTTATTTGGAAAGTTAAGATTTTAAATACTTTCCAAAAAGTATGCAATTATAAAGTCGATGAAGAACAAAAACTCTTGTGTGTTGAAGTGAAAACTTGACCTTACCTGAGGTAAATCCCTTTTATTTTGGGTGTGGATTCAAAAGCATTCTCTGAAACTGTTGTGATCTTGTTGTTCTGAAGATACAGATATTCTAGAGATTCGGGCAGGCCTGATGGGATGGAAGTCAGCTGGTTGCCAGCCATGTCTAGTGACTACAAGGAAGAGACAACAAGTGATCAAAAAGATAATTGAATTTAAACAGTAGCACTCCAAAAATAGATTTAAGTTGAACAACAAATAAAATTTCAAAGGATGGCTATATACACACACCCCCCTCCTTTGGAAGTTTTTTATATACATACACATACATACACATAAGTCTATAAAGATAGACAGATAGATATGCACGTATATAAAACTTGGTATGGTAACAGTGCAGAAGTGAGATGTTTATGCAAAGCTTATGCAGGATTTGTTGTGTTTGAAAATTATCTGGAAATGGGCTTTATTATTCAAATGGTACTTTGGTGAGTCTGCTTCAGAAGCTCTCCATTCTGGTGAGGTCAGAAGAATGACAAACACTGTGTGTACAGTGGACATTGTAAATTGTCAGCCATGCAGAAAGGTTCAGTTTGAGTTTGTGGTGGAAAAACTGAAGTGATATTTATTACAGGATAAACTAATTTAATCTGCATTAAGGTAAATGTGGCCATGACAATTCCGCTCTCTTACACGACTATTTAGCATCATGATTTCACCTGAGACATCACGCTGTTCTGTTTAGGAGACCCAACATTTCTTTCTCTGTCCCCAGGCTTTAGTCCATGCCAGCTTCAAGGGAATTAAAAGCAGACTGAGTTTCAGATATGCATGAGAATTCCTTGGAAGCTGCTACTGCAAACACTTCACTAGCTAAGATCAGGGACTATTTAGAGTTATACATAAAAACACCTGGAAATATTCTAATATGGAGAATGTATGAAGAAATCAGGACTAAAGGCTACAATCATTTCTCAGATGAATTTTATGCAAGAAAATGGATCAATAGAAGTGTTTTTTTATCCTGCATTGTAGCATTTTCTTATCCCCAAGCTGACACACTAGTTACACATTATTCAAAGCTACACTTCTGCAAACGATTGTCATGATTTCAGTGGTTTTATTCTCCACATAATCCCAGTCTTGCAAAAAAATATGTAAATGTCTAGCTTTGCAATTGCAGATCACCTTTGGTGATTTCCACGGAAACAGTGCGGACTGAGGTGTATGCTAAGTAAATGCACGATCAGGATCTTACGTGATGGTCATTTGTGCACCAACTCATGAACCCATTGCACAGTTAAGCCCTTAATTATAAAGAAGATCCTACACTATCAGGGAAATAACTAACAAATAGTAATGCTGTTCCAGAAAAAAGCAACAGCCAAAAATGCACGGTTAGTCTAACAGAATTTTATGTGCTATTAGTATGACCAGGGTTTGCTGTGGGGTAGGCGCAACCGAAGGGCCAGTGCTTGATTCAGCAACAAGTTACTCTGGCTTGAGGTTGACTACAAGGCAGTGACAGTAGAATCCAAGTAACACGAAGTAGCTATCGATCAGGCCTTTCCAGAAGGAAAGCTTATCATACCAACCAACAACTAAAGCTGCTTAATGGGTTTCATGACACATTTTTGCTTGAAAAAAAAATCAACCCAGGTGCCAGTGCCCACATTTTATTAAGCTGCTGCACTGAAACAATTCCAGCATCTGTAATTCTCAACATCTTCCTTCCAGACTACTTTTCATCTTAGGTATATTTGCACATGCACAAACACACGTATGCATATCAGTGAGGCACCAAACAAATCCAAAACATGCTACCAAAGCCATGGACCAAATCTGCAGCTGATGTAAGCCAACAGCTCTACAGATGCTGTTACTGCATTGCTGATTCACGTTAACTGAAAAACAAGATATTGTTTATTCCCAGAAACAACAGAAAGGGAAATGTTCACATGGATAAAACATTTAGATTGTCTGAAAACACACTGGTGGCCAGTGTGACATATGCTCTGCTCCGTGTTCCTTATCCCTGATTAGCTCTGAGATGTATAAACTTTGCCTGTACAGTGACCTAACCATATGCACCATAGATGGTTGCCATATGACACAGGTAATACTTTTTACTGCAGGAAACTGGCCGTTGCCTAAAAGGAAATGCAGACAAATCCTTCAGCCAGTGTAATAATTTTGAAAGGTCATTTTGCGCTGCACAAATGTGATTGTTCCTGCCTGCCTTATGGTTTGTGTTTAACTTTCTCCAACAATTAAGCAAATGAGAAGACTGCTGATTGAATCCAGACCTCCTAGCTGCTATCCAGGTGCCTTAGCCAGCTGAGCTGCTAAATCCTACAGCTTGGCCTGTCTGACTATAAGCTGATGTGGGGGCTTTGAGAATTAAGAGTGTTTTTGTTTATGCATTCCTTCCTCCTGCTGTCTCTCTTCAGAGTCGATTTTAAGTCTTTTGGGAGACAAGCTATTTGAAAAGCATAATTTCAGTTTTAATGACAACATTTACTAATGTTTATCTGAAAATGTAAGACATTGTTAGGGTTCAGAAACAAAGAAGTTTGTTTCTTTTTTCCAGAAACTTTCTAATTTCCCAGAATTAGCACTACATGGTGGACACCACCTTGATCAGCAGTGGGAGGTACCCACTCCTGGCACAACAGCACATCATTTCCACTCTAGAAACAGAAGGTGTAGCACTTACAATACAAGCCCAAAGCACGAGGACCAAGCACACCAAGTACTGATGCTACACAAAATTGGCTTAGGCAGACAGACGAGGACATCAGCAATACTAACACAATTAGAGGAGGTGATGTTTCTACCTGGAGACTGCTGAGTTCTCTCCATGCTCTTGAATAAATGGAATTTACTTTCAGTTTATTGTTGCTCAAATACAGTTCCCGCAGCTTTGTCATCCCAGACAAAGTCCCTTTTGGGATGATGCTTATCTCATTCTCCTTCAGCTTCAGAATCTGCAAGTTCTTTGGAAAGCCAAATGGCACTGTGTGAAGATTGTTTCCAGAAAGATCCAAGGACTTTAGTTGCCTCAGTTTCCGGAAGGCCTCACGATGGATCTGGGGACTTTTGAGCTTGTTGTAGCTCAGGTTCAGCTCTTCAAGGAAGTAAGTGGTAGCAAAGTCATTCCTGTTAATCTCAGAGATCTGGTTATGAAGGATCATAAGTGTTTTCACTCGCCGGGGCAGCCCACTGGGAATCCTTTCCAGCATGTTGTTGTACAGGTGGACAGTGTGCAGCTTCTTTAAGCCCTGGAAGGCTAATGGATGAATACCTCGGGCTTTTAGTTTGTTATTGTGGAGCAGAAGGTACTCCAAGTTCTTAATTTGGGTCAAGACATCTCTGCCAATGACCTTAATTGCATTCTTCTCCAGGTGGAGGAGGACGATGTTTCGAGGTAAACCACTCGGGATTTGTGAGAGGTTATTGCTGGACAAATCCAGATATTCAAGACTAGACAATTTCCTTGGGAAAGCAGGAAACAAAACACTCTCCATTTAGATTCTGCAAAGTGAAACGATAACCACCTTCCCCTATTATTTTTGCTTTAGAGCCTTTCTCCCCAGCTTTCTCCCGTTACTGCCCTTTTCTGTCTCATGACATGACTGATGTGGATAGCAAAACAAGGAGCTCCCATTCTGCCATTAGGGATTAGGGGCAGGTGCTGCCATTGCTCCCTGGCCACACTAGCAAGAGAACCTGCTAGAGTCCAGACATCCAAACTGCCACCGGGCTGAGACCTGAGATCAGTTTTGCAGTCTACTGTTCTCTCGCTTGACACCACAGATAGCAACATACCAGCAGTTTAGTGAACAAATACCACGATAAAGATGCCACGGGAGCACCACTAGAACACAGAATTTAGCTCTCAGTTTCACAGAAGTGTAGCCTAAGCATGAGTAACTTCTGTCTCTCTGAAAGCATATACTGAAACGCAGGCCTGCTTTTTAGATGATGAAATATTACTCTTATGAAAAGCAGAAATGCTAATTCAGTGTCCTAGGCTAAGGTAGTGAACTTCTCCTGACCCTCCAGCATTATGGAAGTGAGTCAGGGCTAGAGCTGCTTTGTGTAAGCTACTGAATCTGGATTCCATGGACTCAATTGAAGCTAAAATAAATCCTCAGACCAGTCACTTATACCAACTGGATGTGGATCAATGGTATTACATGCCAGGACTGAGGAGCCCTCTATTCCCTGGTATTTCAACTCAGTTTCTCAGTTCAAATGAGACTTTTAATCTGCATGGCACTACATAACCCACTGCAGATGACTAGAAAGTTTTCAGGAAATGTGAAAACTAATGCATTACAGACATTACTTATTGGTTACTATGCTGCTATTCACAGCTATCCAAGCATGCTATGAATGAGCAAATATACTCCCTGGGTAAAGCACTTAATTGCGGCAAGTGGTACTGCTTTCCCAGCTTGGGTACATCTCGATAGCACTATGTTGTGCTGTGAGACAGCGTTGTGAGAGCAAGGAACAACATCCACCCCCTCTGCTGACGGTGACCGATGCCTTCGCTATAGCCACTGTACTCCATTCATCAAAATCTTAACAGAAATTATATGCCCAACATGACCTGGAGGTGGACACAACACAGCTATGGCAAATTATTAAGCGAGGTTTCTGGGAGTGCCATGTGGAAAAGGAAAGCACAGTTTGATACATTCTCAAGTCTGGAGAGCAGAAAACTTTACAGAATTAAGTTATCGGCAGGACAGATTACATGATCTGGATTTTCGGGTGGAACAAGGGCAGCGCTTAGTGCTAGCAGAGACACAAAAGTTAACTTTTTGAAGTGCTAAGTCCCAGGCTAAATTTAGGACAGCCAAAGGCTATTTCTGTTGCACCAGTTTGTAGCAAAGCTTTTGCAGCCATCTGGCTATTGAGCAGCACCACTGCATCCCCTCCTGCTCTAGCAATCCATCTGCACTGGGGTACAGCTCTGCCAGATGAATTCACAACTGCTTATCTGTGCCTGTTTTCAAGCCACCTTCACTGAAAACACAGAAGTGGCTTAAGTGAAGATCAAGGTCTGGCCTTAACATCCAGTAAACTGTCCTTGAAAGTCCCAAGTAACCTCACTTTTGACTGGTTTGGAAGAATAGAAACCAGCTTTCAACATGGTTCTGGGCTGAAGATGGCATTTTCCCAGAAGGCACTTAGTACCTGGTGCGATTGGATCTGTGGCAATCAGGGAGTGATGCAATTTGATGTCAGTGTTGCATCTTTTGCATAAAAGTATTCTGCAGTGTGAATTCAAACCACTCACCCAGACCTTTGCCCTTGAATGGCAGCATCTAAATCTAAGACTTTTCATACAGACTTCACAGAGAAATGCATACTGTCATGCAGCTTTTAAGAAATGTACTTTTTAAGATGTACTCTTTTCAGTAGAGGTACTACTGTATCAGAGGATGTAGGCAGACACAGAGGTACAAACTACAGATCTCAGACTCACCAGAAAGTTTCGTTGTCCATTCCTTCATTAGTCAAGTAGTTATTCTGCAAATATAGCTCCCGCAGACCTGTAAGTTCGCTGAAGGCTCCTTTGGGAATCTTCTCTAGCTTGTTGTTCTGGAGTCAGCAGAAGCACAAAGCACATTATTTGGCATGAAACAACACAGGACATTCAGGTTCTGCTTAAATAACACAGGCAATTAAATTTCAAACAGGCTAGACATATGATATTTCAGGGGCATTATAATTCTGCTTAAGAAATAAACACAAATTGGAAATATTACAACCTATTTTTATTAACTCCCCATGGAATCCTTGGGCTAAGGAGTTAGAATTTGCCACCCGCCCCCGAGACAGTTTTATTTTGTACTTGTAGTCCATCCATCTATGTGCAAACGTGTAATGTAATCTTGACAACTGCCTCTGGAGTTTGCTCAGAATGTCTGGATTTGGTGAGACAGATTTCGCCATGAAGAAGAATTAGGCTGGAAGCTGGGAACCAGCCATCCTTCCAGCATTAAGGGCATTTCAAAAGGTACAGTTCCTGTAATGTAGATTCCAGAATAATTACTCCTATTGCCCTTGTGGCTTTGGAGTAGCCAGCAGGAAGACACAAACATAATAGAAAACTAAATTCTACTTAGAAATTCCACACAGGAACTGTAGAGGAATTATAAAAGGATACATAAAACACTAGGAATTATAAAAGGATATATGAAACACTGACACTGAATTTTTTAAACTTCCTACAATCCATGTATACACAATAATGTGATGGACAGACTGGACTACTTTCAGGCCAACCAATATGAAGTGGATACCACCACAGACAGATTTGGCTGAGTGTCTCAATGCATAGTGGAAACAAAAAAAAAGATCTGTCACATCTAAAGTACACCTTTTGGTCCACTATTGGCTGTCTCTCATTTCTCATCGTCCTGTTTTTTTCCCAGTCAAAGTATCAAGGTAAATGTTACTACTGACAGGCAGTGCACTTGAAAACAAAATCATTGAACAGTTTGGGTTGGAGGGAACCTTAAAGATTGTCTAGTCCCAATGCTCATTTCTTTCTCTCCTCTGCCCTTAACACAACTGGTGACAGCAGGGAAGGATATGAGTTCAAAGTGTAGTCCTCAAAGTCTGAGACTCCTTTGGGAGATAACAATAAATGGCGATAGTAACTTCACACTTTGCAGAGAAATTCCAGCAATTTAAAGGATCAGATTGTTTGCCTTTACTTCTTTTCAAGCTCGAGAGAAGTAAAGGCAAACAAGCTTGGAGAAGCCTGTTTTCTAAAAAACTTTAATGGGAATTAGCAGTGAAACCTTCAAGGGAAAAGAAAGCTGGGAGGCAACACAGAACTGCCTAAGTCCAGAGGCTGATAACAGACTCCAGTCTATGCACGTCCAAGGAGCTGTCAACACTAGGAGCAAACGGAACCAGGACTCCCCACTGCTGCAGCTCTCCCATTGCTAACAAGGCTGAGATCTCTAGCACGGACATGATGAAGTGTTTTTATCAAAATCAGATGACATGGAATTAAAAGTGCTGGAGAGTAGTTAATACCACAGCTTCTGCTATTGCACTATTGCTGGAGAAGTTGTAGCAGTAAAGAATCACTGATCCAAACTTTCTGTGTTGTCTGAATTGCCAGTTCAGTAGCAAACAAAAATTGGTGATGCTAGGAAACAGTAGTCTATGTGCAACGAGTCAGTGAGCAAAGCCAGTACATAATGGATAAGCAGCTGTCAGGAAAAACAGCATTGTCAGTGCCAAACTTAACTGGGAGACCAATCACTGGATGGCCATGGAGAAGGATCTACATTCTTGCACTAATATATATTAATATCATTATATGCAGGGAAGAGACCCACAAAGGTAGCACACAGGCACTTGCAATAGATTCCCCTGAAAACACAGAAAAGCAGTTTTGTTCCCCTGCGAGCATTTTGGTGTTTTGCAAAAACACACTGCTAATTATGAACAAAAAAGTAAGGACATGGGAGACAGCTACTGTTGAGGATATAGCAGACGAGACTTACAATGGGCCTGGGAATATTTCCAAGTACACTGAAATGGCTTGGCTGTTTAGTTTGAATCCTGTACAAACACAGTACTTGGTTACAATCATAAAGGAATACAAAACTTTGTTGTTGTTACCTTCAAGTGTAATTTATACAGTGCTGGAGGAAGATTCTTTGGAACATACTTCAAGAAATTGCTGGACATGATGAGTATCTCCACATTATCAGAGCCATTGAACATATTATCAGGTAATCCAGCATCCGAAAGTTTGTTGTTATGAAGATACACAGATCTGTTGGAAGAAGAAAAAAGACAAAGTTAAACAGATAGTGAGATTTGGGGTTTTTGTTTACCAAGAGAAAGTTGTTTAAAAACTATATTTCAATCTTTTCTTCTTTCCTTGAGATAATTAGATTTGTTTTTAAAATGTGCCCTTTAGTTTAGCAAGGGATAACCATGCAAAACCAAATGGTTCATCCTAATACTCCCTGAAATTTAGGTCTATTCAAAAACCAAGCCCGTGTTTAAGTACAAATTTCACAAGTAGCCTTGTCTTCTGACCAAGAAACTGAGCCCACGTGTGGGATTGTGCAGTGCTTTGAAACAGAGAATGTCGGTGTGGTGGCCTCACTCGACAGGGTTAGAACTCACATCTGATTAACGGATATGCCTCCAATTTTAACTTCTATTTGGAATCAAACCTAGGCATCTTCGGCTTGCAAAAATCAACCTGTAGATGTCTTAAGGAAGGGCCGTCTCTCACCCTTCCATTCTTTCTGCTTCCATGAAGGCTGGAAATACCCTAGGAAAGAGTTTCTCTGCTAGTCCTAGAACTCAGAAAGACATGAAGTACTAACACAAAGACAGAGCAGATTTACTCAATCTGGAAGAATTTTGTTTTCTAATGAACCTCTGGAATTAGGAGAAAGAGGGTTTTTTATTTTCCCTTTGCCTTTCTTACTTTCAACATTTAATATTCACAGAAGAGTTTCTCCAATCGTGTTTTTAAAAATGGATTAATTCTTTCTTACATAAGTGTTAATTCTGTATAAAACAACTGAACCCCATGAAGTTATTCCTGCTTTTCATTGGCTTAACTGCTAAATTAATTCATTTGACTTCTTTTTAACAAAAGAAATTATAAGATTTTACTGACTTCAATTACCCCTTCCTTGCCTGTGTTTACCCCAACGTGCAGCAGGCAGCTAAAATTGTAGCAATGGGTTAAAACTGCAGAAGAGCACAGTGTTAAAGTGTGCTTTTTAAACTTGTTCTCGGATTCTCTATCGGTCACAGAGAACTTGGCAACATCTTTCTGGAAGGAAGGAAAGGCTCAGCATGGAAACACAATCATGTGATCACACACTCCAGGGAGTTCAGAGTCACACTGAAAATACTGTTCACCCTGCATGGTCAGCTGTACTTTCAACTCACAAATATTTGCCTTTCTGAAAACCTTGCTTTCCAAATAATCAGTCTGAGACCATGAACTCTGCTAGGGGCAAATAAACCAACTGAAACAACTCTGTCAGGATTTTCTATCAGCAATCTTGGAAATCAATGAGTTACTATTCTGATTAAAATTAGTGTCGGTATAGGAGAGTGTGAAAATCACTTCATAAAAGTGCAAAAAATTTAATATGAAATTAAAACACAACAGCTTCTGCAACTTGGATTAAGGAAGGACACGTATAAATCTAGCTTCTTTCATGATGAGTTATTGCCAGAAATCAGTGGCTGATTCAGCCTTTTCAGCTACCAAGTGCCTATGAGAGTAAAGGCCTAGTAAGTACAGAGTAGCTTCAGCTCTCAACAAATTCAGTGAAAACAGAGTTCTTCAGTTTATCACAAGACAGCTCTAGGAGCTCAACTAGGTGAGCTATCAGTAGCTGCTCCTGAACTTGGATGTGTAAATTCCTACCAACAGAGCCTGACATGTTTTTGCAGGATTTAGATGCTGCAGGGTTCGTACAGATTACTCAAAATGCCTTTGCAAAAGACCGTATCTCACAGGAGGTGGTCTTCAGGCATCTGAATTCAAGATGGGCCAGTGTGCTGTGCTGAATCCAGCTGAGAAAATCACAACCTGAAACCAGCAGAGACCTTTGAAACCAGACCTGAGGGTATGAACCACTTCTGAAGGTGCTAAAGTGCTCTGCTTTAATATAGTTGAGTTATACTCAGCTGCATTGAGTACAGTACTCTCAACTTGATTCTAATTCTTTTAATGAATGGACTGTAATAAAACTAGGGATCTCTAAACAGTTAATCTCCATTTTGAGAAACCAAAGCTGTTCCTTTCAACTCAACTGGTACACAAATAAAATGGAGACAATTTAGTTTTTATCTATGCAAAAGTGTCTGGCACCTAGAAAAAGCCCTTGGAATGCATTTGTCTGAGAGATTATTTGATCTTTCATGCTGAGAATAACAAACAGCCAACTTCTTTCCAAAAAACCTAAGCAGGCAATAACATGGTTTAGCCAGATAGTCTTTTATCACTCACCAACTGCATCCGAGCAGTGGCGGAACCCTGTTATTGCTTTACTTCCTGATCCCTTACCTCAAGTTTGGTTTCTGTCCAAATGTGAGCCCATATATCTTAGTGAGATAATTGGCTGCAAAATCTGCACTGATCAAGGTATTTGGTAGGAATTTCGGCGCCACTGTTAGCTGTAAAAGAAATACACAGGGAAATTCCAATTAAATGCAACAAACATTTTAACCAAGTATTAGACCAGCAACAAAGCACTTGCAAATTTATTTTCTCTAAACAGGCAAAAATAAATGAAACTGAACACAGATTGCACGAACAAAAACAAATTGTCCTCACTCACTAATCTCACCAGGAAGGAGACAGACTTTTGCTCCAAGATATGTGAATGTTTGTTTTGGTTGGAAGAGTCCTGTCTCTTTTTGGTGGAAGAAACCAAGAAACTGTTATTCAGAAAGCAAACATGTTGCTTATTATTGTTGCTAATTCCTTAGTCTTTGCCAAAAAAAATCCGACCCACCTCACAGTGGCTTACTACTTACTCCCATATGAAGGTATACTGAGGCAGGGGGGAAGTGTCGCTTCATATGTCTGCTCAATATTGCATTCATTTACGGTGATCTTTTCAACAGAGGATTTGGGTTCCCAAAGGACACGGATGCTTTCGAGCCAAATGATGGAATATCAAATGGGATTTCAAAGCAAAAACCTGCTTTGTACAGTGAAATTTGTTCATTGAACAAGTGATGTATCAGAAATGAAATACAGAAAGAGCCTGTCTGCAAAACTTTATAGTCGACAAGAAGTACAGGATTTCATGTGTTTGCTCTTGGTCTATTGTTATTTTTATTAGCGATTTTAAAAAATAATGCTAGGAATGCCTGCATCTGAACAAAAATTGCTGGAGTGAAAACTAATGATGGAAAAAGCTCAGTTTTACATAGCATCCAGATAACAGAATAGCTGGGTTCACTGAGTGGCTGTTAATAGCCAAGTCATTAATCTAGAAACCAAGAACACAGGTTACAAGACAGGCTGCAGGACGGTTTTCTGGACTGCGTAAACTCAGAAAATTTATGCATCATGATTAAGCCCCCGGGAGACAAATTCTTAACACAGTGCTGTAGTAGATATGATCCTTGAGCACATAAGCAGACGACTACTGAATTGCAGTAGGCAGGTGCAAGCACAGTGGTTACAGATGTTAACTATAGTACTAATGAGATCACTCTTACAGTATTTTATGTACGCTCTGAAAGGCTCTGGAGAGAACATCTTCTCTAGGGAGATACTGAAGTCTTTGTCATCTACAGCTTTGAGATCAGGAAGGGAAGCTCTGGGCAATGGAAGAGATCTGCCTTCTGGCTTGAAATTCTTTGAATCTCTAGGTTTCTTCCTCACAGCACTGTTGTGTGAAAGAGGACCTAGTCCTTACAAGCAGCTAGATACAGCAAGACTCACATGATAAGAAAACATATTTTTCAAATGTTTATTACAATAAAACTGCAATCAGTTATTAATAATAATGTAAAACCAAAAATACTTCAAAGATTAACGATGTGTTAGAGAACAGATACTTTATTGGAGAACTGCCTAACCCAAGCCTTAAACTGTGTATTTACCTAAAGGGTGCCTAGATGTCCCTCTACTAGTTTGTCAAGTATGCACTGAGGGACTATATCCATGAACCTGCAATTTACTGGACTCACAACACAGTTCTATTTTTTCAAAGATGTTTTTCCTTTTCAACTGCGCCAAAACCTCCATCCTTAAGCTGTCTTACATGTTTAGCAGTCACAAACACAAAAAGGATCTTTCCCACAGATCAGACTCCTATCAGCATTTCCATTATCAGTACGTAAGCAGCAGAAAAGAACGTTTTACATATTCCTACAGTTGCCACAATACTGCGCTTGGCTTTGCCAGTAATCTCTCACCTCCTGACCTGGGAGATATGATTTCAGGGAAGGGGATAAAGTCATTCATCTCTGATTAGGAAGGTCTGACAGTGCCTCAGAAAGAAGTAAGTCTCTACTGTAACACAATATTGAGAATTCAGACACAGGAAATAGACTTAAATCACTTTCATACACGGTGGCACATTAAAGCTTTTCTCCTGAAACACGGTCTATTAGGTCATAACTTTTATACAAAACAAAGGGCATGGCTCAGACATGTGAAACGAAAGCCATCAGAACCACAAGAAAGGGGAAAGAGAAAGAGAAGTTCCATCCGAAAAGAATTTTCACTTGCTCAGGACTTTGCTTTGGCATTTCAGCACCTAGTCATGAGACTAACTGATCTCCACCGGTTGACTGCTTGAAGAATTAATACTGGATGGTTGCAACTGTTAGCAAAAATGAAGTTGGCTGAGTAGCTCTGTCTAGTATACTGCCTAATAAGTAGCAATCTGCATTCCTCCAGCTGCAATTTTCTTGCAGCTTTATTGCTGGGTCTTCCCTTCTACAAGGCAGATAGTGTTTCTCCACCGTTAACCAACAAATTTACCAGTGAACTCTGAAGGATTTTACAAAAGTTATTACCAATTTTGGAACAAGTTTTCTTGCTTACAACAAGCTTTGACGCAAACAGAAGTACTGGATCCAGGTGAATCCCATATCACTTTGGGAACACTGGGAAATGTTAAGACCTGACACCAAAATCGCCAGCTTATAGTAAATAGTAATGATGGCTCAGAACCTGGCCTACAGTTTGGTGGAAGAGATTTCTGTTATTAACAAGGCTTCCTGGGGATACTATGTGATAGATACATATTGTGAGAGTGCAGTGAGAAACTGAAAAGGAAACTATAGGATCTGTTCTTCACTAGAAGTACTTGTTGCTCATAAGCCACAGAAGGCTTTTAGTCTATTACGATATTTCTTTTCTCCGACCAGCTATGCTAGTTTAACGAAAGACAATTTAGCCACATCTGATGGGATCACAATTGAAGATAAAACAGCATTAAGATAATCCATAAAACACGGAGCAAACTACCAGCAAATCCCTGCCCTCCTCCAGACATCACAGTTACTTGATCCGCAGTGTTTCCTGCTGCAGAGTGGATGCAGTTTGAAGCCAATCTGGTTTGTCCTGGCTTGTGATTTATAAAGAAATGTGTTATTTTTGTGGGTCCACAACTTCTCACTGTAACCAGTCCTGACATTCGCTGATGTTTGCATTTTCTTTTGGGATCTTTTTTCTCTCTGCAGTAAAGCCAGAAAAACCAACCACTTTGTTTTGTCACACAGGGAAAATTGGAGTGCAAAGTTCTGGAATATTACTCACAGTCTGGCTTGTTCCTTTTTATAGAGTTATTAACTGCCAAGATTGTTATATGGAAATGGTGCTTGAAAAAGAGAAAAGAACACAATGTTACTGTACTAAGGAATGGGTTCTATTCTCCATCACTCCATACAGAAATCTATGGAGTGATTCTGGATATGTCTTGGCCTGACCAAAACCTGGATGTGGCCACATGTATATAAACAAAACATCAAAAGGTCACAGGTTTTAAGAGGATAATAAAATATATTTACAGACATGCATATAAATATATATGGGGGA